CATGTTGCATAGGCTGGAGAGGAAATGAGAAAATAAGCGGTCTGCCGTACACACACACACTCTTTCGGCCATGTAGTAGAAACAAAAATGCAGAAACACAGAAACAGCAAGATGAGAGACCAAACGCAGAAATGCAAAAAGCAGGCACAGAGCAAAAGAAACAGAAACAAGCACACACATGAGAGAAACAAAAACATGCAGAGCATACACAAGCAACACATAAAAGAGAACACACACACACGTACACTTTCGGCTGGGCTCAGAAGAAGCAAAACAGAGCAAAAAGAACAGCAAGCAACCGGAACACGTACGCATATGCTTTCGGCTAGCAGGAGAAAAGAAACAGAACCAAGGATGCACGCACGCATGCACGAGACGGCACAGCAAAGAAAGCAGATGGAACAGCACAGAAAAAGTGAGAAGAAATAGAGGCAGAAATGCAGAAAAATAGAGACAGAACATCACAAAAAAAAGGGAGAAGAGACAAAGGCAGAAACACAGAAATGCAGCACTCACACACAAAAGAAAGAGAACAGAGCAGAGAGATTTGGGGCACACACAGAAAATGCAGCAGAAGAGAAGGAAAAAAGAAGAAGCGGAGCAGGAGAGCAATGATTCACATCTTCCATCCTCTATATAAGGCCGAACGTGAAACAGAGAGAGGGGCGATTTTCTTAGAGAAAAAGTGAGTTAGAGATTGGAAGCTGAAACAAAGGCTGAAAGAGGAATGAGAGAGCATAAGAAGAGAGCAAGAAAGCAGAGACGGGGAAGTAAAAACTGAAAACAAAAAACAGAGACAAAGGAGAGAGTCTGAGAGAGGATAGAGAATGAGAAAGAGATGAAGAGTGAGAGATGAGAGAGAGACCGAGAAAGAAGAATAGAGGCAGAGGAGAGAGTCCGAGAGAGGATGGAGAATGAGAAGGAGACGGAGAGTGAAAGATGAGGAGGAAATCGGGAAGAACAGAGCATGAAGGAAACACTACATGCATGAGAAAAAAAGAGAGTCCTGAGAGAAAAGGAGAAGAGAAAAACGGACAGAGACAGAGGCACGAGAGTTTTCTAAAAAAAAGACTGAGAAACAGAAAAAATAGACGCCGAGAATAAGAGAGCACGAGGAGAAAAAAAGCAAAGGACGCTGGTCATGGGACCTTTGGCCAGACGAGAAAACTCAGAGAAGAGAGAGACCAAGGAGAACGAGAGAGCAGAGCCTGGAGTGAGCAAGGACGAGTAGAAAAAGAAGAAGAAAGCTGGACGAAAAAAAAGAAACAAATAGAGCAAAAGAGATCTGGAAGGGTAGAAGCAAAAACTGATAGCGTGATGACTTAAGAGACTATGGTGTGGATATGATGAGCATAGTCAACCCTCAAACTCATAGCAAAGAGTGTTGATTCTCACCCTGATCTTCAAAGGTTGTGATCTAAATTAACGATAAGATTTCTATCTTAGATCTCTTTAGTTATAAAACTTGTTAGTTTTTAATTTATTCCGTAAATTTTTTGAGTATATTTTGATTTAAATATCAGCAATCAATATGTTTATAAGTTAGTTCTTCTAAATGCCAAAGCTACTGGTTATTTTTATCTTCTTATTTATTTGCATGCTCATTATGTCACTATTGAAAAGGAGTTCTAATTTTTTTTTTTGGATGAATTTTGCATTTTGTAATTAAGATCCAATAAAATAAGAGAGTATATACTTGTTGTTACTTATTTTTCATGTGAAATTTTAAGAATTTTCGCAGGCATTTAAAATGATCTCATACCGTGTAAATCAATAAGATTTCACAGGTATGAAGATCCAACTTGTATACTAAAGATGGGTTCTAATGGCTCACCATGAAAATTAAGTCTGTTTATACTAAATATTTAAGTCTCATGTGAGATTTCAAGAATCTTTGTAGAGACTTAAATTAATCACATTATCATGTAGGTTAATAAATCCTCACAAATATCGTGGTTCACAATTTATATGGTAAATAAATAAATGAATTTTGTAAATAAAATAAAAAAACATTTTTATAATTTTAATTAACTAAATTAATGAATTTAAATTATAATTATATTTACCCATTATATCTTTTGGTCATGTGAGATTTTTGAAACTTCGTAGACTTTCAAGATAATCGTACTACCGTGTGAGTCAATAAGGCTTCGCAGGTATAACGATTAAGATTTTATATTAAAAAATATGTGTTATATAATTACACATTAAAATATATTCAAAGTGAATATTATTTAATCCTTTTATCGTGTGAGACTTTGAATCTTTGCAGATATTCAGGATAATCTCGTGTCGTGTAAATCAATAAGATCTTACAGATATGAGAGCAAAACTTATATATTAAAATTAACTCTCCTTTTATAATCCAAATTAATAATTTATTTAAGTCTCATGTGAGATTTCAAGAATCTTCGTAGAGACTTAAATTAATCACATCATCGTGTGGGATAATAAGTCCTCACAGATATAGTGATTCTCAATTTTTATAATAAATAAATAATTTTTGAAAATAATCATATAACACAATTTGGAAAATTAATTAATCAAATTAATGTATTTAAATTACAATCATATTCACCGATTATATCTTTTAGTCATGTGAGATTTTTGAATCTCCGTAGACTTTTAAGATAATCGTATTATCGTATGAGTCAATAAGACTCTGCAGATATAATGATTAAGTTTTTAATATATATATATATATATATTATATTAAATTAATTAAATTAAAGATGTATTTGAATTTAATTCCTTTATCGTGTGAGATTTTAGAATCTCTGCAGATATTTAGGATAATCATATTACCGTATAAGCTAATAAGGCTATGCAGGTATGATGATTAAAATTCTTCAAAACATGTATCTACATGCTAAAAAATTATTATCAACACTTAAAAATATACATAAGAATATAAATAAATAAATTAAATTGCCAAACTCTTTTATCGTGTGAGATTTCAGAATCTCCGCAGATATTTAGAGCAATTGCATTACCGTATGAACCAATAAGGCTCTGTAGGTATGGCAATTAAAATTCCTAATCATAAAAAAATATAAAAAAAATAATTTTAAACCCTTTTCTTTTCCAAAAATTCAAAATTGAGAAAATAGTTGAAATTAAATCACTTTTTGAAATTTAAAACACCCATATCAAAATTTCAAAAATTGTCTTATTTGAAAAATGGTGAATTATTTTTAATTAATTTTTCTTTAAAAAATATTTTCACCAACAACTTTCAAGCCTGAACTACATGGACTTTGATCCCCATTACAGGGTACGTAGACCTCAGAGTCAGATTCTGAGTCAAGTCCGTCCTCCCTTGTAAATAAATAAACATTTCTCACCTAATTCCTATCATTTTTATATCAAACACATGAATATAAAAGGGATAATTAAAATAATTATAAAACCATATTAATAGAGCACAACAAACTTCAGGTAACCATTATAACGAACGGGTGTTGTGGGGTGCCTAACACCTTCCCCACGCTCAACCGACTCCCGAATCTATTCTCTGATTTCGCAAACTACCCTTATCCTCCATTAATCGGTTTCTCGAGATTTCCCTCAAAATCTTGGTGGCGACTCCTCGTTCGATCCGGTTCCCACCGCAAAGGTCGGGACCTCCATTCGCGTGCTGTCCGCGTCGTATTTTTCTGGGTGCGACAGTTAATTAGAAATATTTTCACCAACAACTTTCAAGCCCGAACTACGTGAATTTTGATCCCCATCATAGGGTACGTAGGCCTCAGAGTCAGATTCTGAGTCAAGTCCGTCCACCCTTATAAATAAATAAACATTTCTTACCTAATTCCTATCATTTTTATATCAAACACATGAATATAAAAGGGATAATTAAAATAATTATAAAACCATATTAATAAAGCACAACAAACTTCAGGTAACCGTTCTAACGAACGGGTCTTGTGGGGTGCCTAATACCTTCCCCACGCTCAACCGACTCCCAAACCTATTCTCTGATTTCGCAGACCACCCTTATCCTCCATTAATCGGGTTCCCGAGATTTCTCTCAAAATCTTGGTGGCGACTCCTCATTTGATCCAGTTCCCACCGCGAAGGCCAGGACCTCCGCTCACGCGCTGTCCGCGTCGCATTTTTTCGGGTGCGACGAGGGGTAAATGTGCATTTTTGTTTCTAAAGTATTAGGAACATACAACACTCTAATATTTTTGTTAGAGCAATTTTACCCTTAACATTATTAAAATGAAGTACTTTTGCCCTTTCAGACAAATTTTTTAATTGTTAATGTTTGAGGTCAACGTTGAAATTTTGACAAAAAGGGTAAAAGTGCTCAATTTTAATTACATTAAGGGCAAAATTGTTTCAATAAAAATGTTAGGGTGATGGGTGCTCCTCGAAAAATACTTCAGGAACAAAAATGCACCTTTACCCGAGCATCTAGTAGACTTCAAAGTGGCGGCATTCATTCCAATGCAACGTTTCATGAGAAGGGAAAAAGTTGCTTCTTAAAAACGTACTCAAAATGGAAAAACAAATACATAAATATAAGTAATGTAACATAACAAATAGCACATAAGAGAATAGACCATATAGTATTTAAAAGCTCAGTAACATGCATGCTTTCTTATTCGGTTCATGTCATATATCTATCATAGCATGCCATCCCACTTTAAACTTGGAGGTCTTTACCCTAGTCTCTCCTACAAAATGAAAGGGGGAAAAATAAAAGTTGTATTTATATATATATATATATATATATAAACTTTAAATAGCAAATTAAGAGAAAAGATACAAATATAATTGATTACCAAGTAACCTTTGAGCCACTGATTGCATTTAGTCATATTTACCATGGTTAGAACAACCATAGTGTTTGTCAAATTGCATAGAAGTTTGAAGTAGGCATGTATCCAAGAGCAATTGAAAAGTATTGACCCGAAAATCCCATAAAATCCTGTGATAAATCCCAATGACATGCTCCAATAGAACTCCTTGGAAAGAATTGATTCATGCTCATCTTATTTGAATTCAATTAGCTCTTGAGGTTTTTCCTCCTCTAGACATATTTTCTCAAGCGGTTTTCCACAAAGGTCAAGATTTCCTTCATAGCTTGAGCTATTAAAACTTTGCAATTGCGTGCCAATTGGAATTTTTCCAGAAAGGTTGTTATTTGATAAATCCAACACTGAGAGACCATAAATTTGAGTAAGGCTTGAAGGAATTGGACCATATAAATGATTTCTTGATAAATCAAGAGAGTCTAATGATGTTAATTGTCTAATCTCTGAAGGAATTTCTCCACCCAAGTGATTTTTTGATAAGTTCAGAGATACCATTCGAACTAAGTTTCCTAATTCAGTTGGAATCCCTCCCATGAATAGATTGCTTGAAAGATCAATGCCTTTTAAAAGATTTGTTTTCCTAAAGGTTCGTTCCATACCTTTCCACATTAGCAATGCACTTATCTCAGATGAAAATTCCACATAATTATCAATGCCAAATGAAATATCAAAAGGATATGAATCACTCTCTAAAGCCATTTGTGTAAATTTTCCGAAGCATCTAAGTATCTTTCCTGAAAGATTGTTCAATGAGAGATCCAAGAAATGAAGTCTTGACAAATAACAGAGATGAATTGGTAAATCTCCAAAGAAGTTATTTTTTTGAAGTGATAAAATTTCTAACTCATGTAAACTAATTCCAATCCATGAAGGTACATGTCCAGAGAAATGGTTTTTCCCTATATCTAGAAACCTTAAATTTGGGCAATTCCTTAAGGTAATAGGCAATCGTCCAGTAAACTTATTGTCTCTCAATATCAGACTTTCAAGACTCTCTAAAGAGCCGATAGAAGTTGGAAGTTCTCCTGAAAAAATTGTTATCCCTTATGTCCAAAAAGAATAATGATTTGAATTAACCCCAACAATTAGAAAGCTCTCCCAATAGTTTATTGTTAGACAGATCTAATATCATCATATAAGTTGCCTTTGCTGAACATAAAAAATGGTGAACATCTGAAAAATTATTATTCGATGCATCAAGAAAGCTTGCTTTATGCAGAAATTGTGGAATTTCACCCTCAAAATGATTGGAGGCCACAGATATCCAAGCACCAGAGATGGATTTCAAGGGAACACTTGGTATTGTACCAACAAAGTTATTGCATGAAATATTCAAGTAAAATAGCTTTGGTGTCAACAATGCCCAAAACCACTCTGGAATAGGACCTGAAATTCCAGAGTTGGAAATATCAAGTTCAGTGAAATTATTTTGAGTTTGCAACCATTTGAGAAAACCAGGACCTAACTTACAAGACCCCATATGCATGACTTGCAATTAAAATGATGGAATCTAGTTGTGGCTAAAGTTCGAAGCCAATGCATTGAAAGATAGGACCAAATTCTTTAAGCTGGGCATATTAGCAAAATGGAATTTAGTGAAAGTACCTTTCAAAGAGTTGGACCAAATATTTAAAGTCTCTAATGAAGAGGGAAATTGAAGATCTTTAGGTATTGACCCATTAAGCAAATTCCTTGAAATGTCAAATTTCTCTAAAGCTATGAATGTGGAAAGGTTTATTAGTGTGCCACTGATTTGATTACCCTGTAGGTTCAACTCTTGTAAAGAATATCTAGCACATCCAGAAAGAGATTGAAGGATTATTAGAAGGTCCTCACTCAAATGGTTATAGTCTAAGGATAATGAACGTAAGGTACATATATTCCCTAAGGATTTAAGCCCACCCTTGAGATGATTATAACTAAGGTCTAGATTCTCAAGAGAATCCATGATGCTGCCAAATTCATGTGGTATGGGACCCTCCAAGATGTTGCCTCTAAGATTAATCTGAACAACGTTGGAGCTAAGATTTGAGATCCAATGGAATACTGAGGAAGACTTGAATTCATTATCAGATAGATCAATCACATGAAGAGAAGAGGAATTGAATTTTAAATAAGGTAATGAAAGGATATATTGATCTGAAAGATCATTGTCAGATAACATTAATTCTTTCAAGCTCGGTAGCTCTCCAATCATTCGCATCCACTTATAAGAATATTTGAGATTGGTTATGTTCTTTAACATAAGATGGGTCAAACTTGTGAGACTAGAGAGCCACTCACCTCCACCCCCATTCTTTTGGTTGATTTTGAGAGCACTATCATCTGATCCAAGGAAAAGCTTTTGCAAGTTCGAAAGGTTCCCAAGTTGATAAGGTATTACTCCTCCAAGATTGTTAAATGAGAGATCAAGATGTTGCAATTGTGAGAGATTCCCCAGTTGATAAGGCACTCCTTCAAGTTCGTTGGATGAGAGATCAAGGTGTTGTAATTGTGAGAGATTTCCAAGTTGATAAGGTACTTCTCCTTCAAGTCCGTTGGATGAGAGATCAAGGTGTTGCAATCGTGAGAGATTCCCAAGTTGATAAGGTACTTCTCCTTCAAGTCCGTTAGATGAGAGATCAAGGTGTTGCAATCGTGAGAGATTCCCAAGTTGATAAGGTACTTCTCCTTCAAGTCCGTTAGATGAGAGATCAAGGTGTTGCAATTGTGAGAGGTTACCAAGTTGATAAGGTATTTCTCCTCCAAGATAATTTTCTAAGAGATCAAGATACTGCAATTATGAGAGATTTTTGAGTTGACTCGGAATATTTCCACTTCCTAAAAAACAGTTTTTGAGATCAAGGTACCTTAGGTTGCTTATAAAGCCAAAGAATTTAGGGATATTACTGTCTTTAAAATAATTGAAACTAAGGTTGAGATACATCAAGTATTGCAACTCCATCAATGATGCACTGATGTGACCTTGTAAAGACAATTGGTCTAGATCATCACCAGGAAGGTGGAGTATCAAGACATGCCCTGTTTGGTTGCTGCAATGAACTCCCTCCCATTGACAACAATCTCTCTTGTGCTTCTGACTACCCCATGAAGACCATGCGTATGTGCTTGAGTCATCCGCCCCAAGGCCATCCTTAAACTGAAGCAAGGCTTGCCTCTCCCTCTCTATGCAATGAACCACTGTACTTGTAGCTCTCCATGAATTAGGAGCAAGGACCCCATACTCAAGCATTATTATGGCAAACAGTATGAATTTGAGAAACCCAATGAATATCCTCATTGTTCTTGTCTTCTGGCAAGTGAATCTATCAATTGGTGATACAAGTATAGGGACTCGTCGTGAATCTATTCATAGAGATTACAATATGTTATTTTAAAAGTCATTTAAATGTTGGGATCTTTTTTTCTTTGCGTGGCAGACAATGCATGTTATATCACAACAAAAATATATTAATAGCAGTAAGATTTTCAAAGTAACAACCAGCTGTAATGAAATGAATATATGGTTATTTGCGTATTATTTTGAATTATGATCAATATTATGCTTTAGTTTACTAGCTTGTATGTCTAGTTCAAATATTATGATGATTGCCATTAAATGACTATCTCAAATTGGATAACCTTTGAAAAATTATCTTCCACTTAATTTATAATATTTTATGATTTTATCAAATTATATTGCAAAATTATAAACCTAAAAATATGACTGTATATGTAAGTATATGTTTTATGCTTGTTCTATTGTGAAATTATATTAGTCAAAGTCCACGTTGCCCCCCTTAAAGCAAGGCACCAGTGTCTATCACTTTTACCCCAACCTTCACGGCCAATATAATTATCATTTTTTATTCTGGTGTTTAAAAAAGAAGTTAGAAAAATGGAAAAGCACGATCATTAAGGCCCCAAGCACTATCATATTTTATTTTTCATGCTACTTTCTAAAAGCAGTTGGAAAAATGGCAAAGAAATGACAGCAACACAGCTTGATTCCTGCAATTTGTGGGCATGCTTTATTCAACTCTTTGTATGAATAATCAATTATATATTGCTCAGAGTATATGTTATCTCTATACAATCTAAATGAAATACATTTTCTAAAATGTGTAATTTGTTATTTCAAAAGTGGGAATTAATTTCTTCAATTTAGCTTCACATAGTTTGTTCAATGGCTTTATCGCCAATAGCATTAAAGAAAATACACAATCTTATAATAGTGCATTTCATATTATCTTTTGAAATGCCTCAAATATCCAATAGCCAATAGTAATATATAATTGTTGCATCAATGCATGATTGCATGACAATCATGAGACTTCAAAATTAATATCTTCAAATCTTTCATTGGCATAAGCATTTTCACATTAGAAGAATACCCTTGCAACATCTTAATACCATACAAACAACCACATAAGCTTGATGTTTTCTACTTTTTAGATAATGTGTGTACAGCTAATTAAAGTTAAATAAGTCCTCCTTTTTTTTTAATAGCTAAATAAGTCTTCTTTCCCTCTTCATGTCATGCAAATAAGTGTTCTCTTATTCTCATTTCAATAAAGTATAGTCTAGCATTAATTCCATCCTACTATCTTCCATTTATATGCATAAGAGTACCAACGAGACTATTATAAACACCTTTCTCCACATGTATCACGTATATCATAATTGTGCCTCACATGAAGATTTCACTACTACAAAAACAAGCATAAATGATGGTTATTTTTACCTATAAATGACGATTAACAACCATCATTTATTAGGCTGTCATTTAAAGTCTACCCATTTATATGACAATTATTTCCCTGTCATATATACTTGATTATATATGACAGTTAAATATCCCCGTCATATAAAACTTCTCCCACTAAAAGAATATATGACGGTTATTATAAATAACCGTCATATATTGGCAGTACAATATATGACAATTATTGCAAATAATTGTCACATATTCTAGCAAAAATGATAGTTATTTACAATAACTGTCATTTTTTACTTTTTTTTTCCTTGTAATAAGGGGTTGTTTCTACACCAGCCTTCTATAAATAAATAATAGCTATACAAAATTTATATCCAAACAGTAATATATTAATATTTATAGAAAAAACAACACCAATTGAATTAGAATGGAAATTAATTCAAAAAGAAACAAAAATAAAATTCATTAAAATTATTACATCATATTATCATTAAAAGCACAAGGACTTAATTAGCTGTTCATCCATGGCTGCGAACACAAAAAAAAAATCCATGGCTATAAATATTGGATTCTCTTTTCATTTTCATTTCAATATTCAAAATTGAACATGTATCACTCAACAATATGATGAAAGTGTAAACTAATTAACATGTTATTTTTTACTGATGAAGACGAGGCAGCACGTAGTATATAATAACTATATATTAACATATTATTTTTTTACTGAATATTGATTAAATTGATAATTCAAACAACACAAATAGAATGTTCTGAATATGGAGCCTACTGAAACTATTTTTGACAAATCTCATCTTTTTTTGCTAAGGAATAAATCTCAATTCACTCCCAACAGTAACAACTAATAAATCTGGTCAAAAGAATAAAAAATAAATGGCAACAAGATTATTATAAATAAAAATTATGAGTTAGGAAAGTATTAACAATATAAAATATCGCAAATGGAAAAGAATGAGATTTTAGATTTAACCTATTCAACATGCACAGGGTAGAGTGAATTTTTCCACTTACATTTTGGAAGAAAAATGTGATCTAATTTTTTAAAAGAAGAAGAAGAAGAAGAAAGAAAGAATTAAAAAAGGAGGAAGAAGAAGGGACTGACCTTAACGTTCAGTAACTTGACCTTGCAAACAAAAGCACAAGAAGGGTCAGCCTTGGTGAAATCGATGGAATCAGAGGGGTACTTCAATAGTGTCGACCTCTTTAAGTTAGGCACCTCAAGTGAGTTGATGAACGACAATGAGTGAATAGACAATGAAAACACGGATTGAGCATAGCTTCGAATGGACTAGGTAGATTTAGATGAGCACGGTGAAATCATGTTGAATCCAGGCAAATGGACAAGGCGGGGGGATGGAGAAGAAGAAAGAAAATATTGGTGCGAATCTGAAAATAAAAATGAAAGAGAAAACTGAACATTTAAAAAACCAGCATATATGATAAGCTTTTAAATCTTTGTCATATATTGTTATGCATATATGACGGGTGTTTGAAGCACCCGTCATATATAGTGTTATTATTTTTTTAAAAAAATTATAATTGAAGCATTATATGATGGGTTTTTAAGCACCTGTCATATATTACCATATATATAAATAATAGGTATTTTAAACACCCGTCATTTATTTATTAACTATCACTCCCTTCATCATTATATGACAGACTTTTTTATAACCATCATATTTTTAGGTATCTTATATTTAAAATTCTGCAGTAGTGTTTTGCCAATATGAAAGATCAAAGATTGATCTTTTTTTCTCACAAATTTTTTTCACTTGTAATTTTTTGATTCTTACTTAGGATTACATTGATTCTTTGGGCTCGTTAATAAAACATGGTCACTAGTTAATGCCTTCAAAGCAAATTTATACTCTTGTAAGTTGTTAAAATCCTTTTCTTTTAATCTACAGTAAGGGTAAAAATGATTTAGAAACCTCCTATGATCAAAGTAAATTGTTTTCCTTTCATGTTTGAGTTGTTACAATATGCAGTTATTGTAGAAAGCATGTTTTTTCTTTTATATTCTATACTCATTGGATATAAGATTTTCTTGCTCTTGCAATTACATGCATTTCAAAAGTCATTATCACTTGTAAACATATTGATGTGAAATGAGAAAAGGGTAGTTGGGGAGGGAGATAGAGAGAGAAAAAGATAAAGGATGAAGAGAGAGAGAGAGAAAAAAGGAAGGGAAAAGCCAATACTACTAAAAAAGAAGAAGAAGGCTTTGACATTTTTAGGTAGGAAAAACATAACTTTAAATTATTACATTTTGCTCAAATTTTGTTACAGGTCTCCGCACTTTTTTTTGTGTATTCTAAGTCTTTATATTTTTATTTTTTAATATTTTAGATTCTTATAACACCGCTTATGGAGGGACTTGTAGCACTGAAAAACAAAAGTGTGGAGACTTAAAATATAAAAAAAAAATATAAACCTATAACAAAACTCAAGTAAAGTAAAATAATTTAAAGTTATGTTTTCCTTTAAAGTATATTAGTCAAGTCATTTTTCCCCTAAAATATTAGTCAAAGTCATATCCCTCAAAACAAGGCACAAAAATATAGTCTGTCATTTTCACCCCAAGCTTCACGGCCAATTATCATTTTATTTATTCTGGTGTTTAAAAAAACACCATCATTTTTCACATTTCATTCTAATTTCCAAAAGCATGCGGTTGGAAAAATGGCAAAGAATTGACGGCAACACAGAACGGCATGATTCCTAGCAATTTCCTGGCATACTTTGTTAATTCAAGTCTCTGCATGAATAATCAATTATGGCTTAGAGTGTATGTTATTTTTATACAATTGAAATGAACTGCATATTCTAAAATGTGTAATATTTTCTTTCAAAAGTGAAGAATTAGTTTCTTCAATTTAGCTTCGCATTGCTATAGGCTGCTTGTTGAGAAAATTATTCTTTCTTATGATATATCAAAAAACTTGTGATATATATTTGCCTACGTTTAATTCAGATTAAACAAGTTTGACGAAAATCTTATTAGAGTATTGCGTCACTAAATCAAGTACCTGAAGTTTTCTCATGTAATATTTTTTATTATTACATTATGCATGCAATTCATTTAAATTTCCTCTCTTAGGAAAGAAGAATAGAGAGAAGTCAAATACCCAGGAGAGAAAGATTCAATAAATTTAACTTGTTTTTATCTTTTGTTTTTACATAACAATATAAAATAATTTATTGCATACAATAATCCTCTTATTGGGTATAATTATATTCAAGATAGGTTCAGGCATTAAGTATGGACCAGCAAGAATTTGAATATTAATTCATTACATTGTAAGAAATTAACTAATTTCTATTAAATCCAACCCTTATTAATAATTTCTTATGATTTTAATATCAGTATAATATAATTATTCTACAATAAAATTTCAAGTATATGTAAAACTATGTCAACTGAACTTATGGCAAATTTCTCCTAGGATCGAATTATTGTCACAAATTGGTTAACATTTAAATTGTTTATATTATTTTATGGTTTAATCAAATTATCTTGTAATGCAAAAAAACACAAAACTATGACTGTATATTTCAGTATGTTTCACATGTGTCCTAATGTGAACTTCGTTATCAAAGTCATGTCCCTCAAAACAAGGTAAAGAAAAGTACAGTGACTTTCGCCTCAAGTCTCGTAATCATTTTCATTTTTTGGTTAAAAAAAAAGGTGAATTGAATTCAAAAAACTTATCATTTTTTTTTCTAATTTCTAACAAGATAATCAAAGATGAGCATGTAAAACTCATCAAAAAGATATTAAAAGTTAAATCAATTATTGAACCAATTAAGATAATAACTTGAGTTTGAAATTCAATTAAGGATTAACCCTTAATCAGATCAGTCATGATTTAAATAATATAATAAAATTTAAATTCATTAAATATTCATATTTGACTATAAAAAACAGTAATATTTAAATAAAAAAGTCTTTAAGTCTCAAGAAAATGAAAAATTCATCTGTAAAATCTTATATTCATCTTATACAAATATTAATTATAAGTTTCTAACAATAATAAAATACAAACATTTAGAATGTTAATTTAGGGATTCAAATTTGATTTAGGGTTCAATATTTAAAAGATAAAAGAAAAAAGTAAAAATAAATGAAATTTAATTTAATCCAGATCAACCTATTAAACTTGCCAAGTTGACTTGAAGTTCATGTATGTTGTATGTTCGTTCTAATGTAAACTTTGTTATCAAAGTCGCGTCCCTCAAAACAAGGCAAAGAAATGTACAGTTATTCACTTTTGTCTTATCATCATTTTCATTCTTTTTATAAAGAAAAAAGGTAAATTCCATCCAAAAAACTTATCATTTTCATTCTAATTTTTAAAAAAATAATCAAGGATGAGCATGTGAAACTCATCACAAAGATACTAAAAATTAAATTAGTCATTAAATCAATCAAAATAATGACTTAAAAATTTAACATCTAACCAAAGACTAATTCTGAATTAGATTAGTCATGATTAAACTAATATAATATAATTTAAATATATTAAACACTCATATTTGACTATGAAAAATAATAATATTTAAATAAAAGTCTTTAAGCCACAAGAAAATGAAAAATTCATCCCTAAAATCTTATACTTATCCTATACAAATATTAATTATACGTTTCTAACAATAATAAAATGCAAACATTTAGAATATTAATTTAGGAATTCAAATTTGATTTAGGGTTCAATATTCAAAAATAAAATAAAATCTAATCTAATCTAATCTAATCCATGTCAATCCATTAATTTTGCCAAGTTGACTTGGTTTCTCGAGTTGAAACCAGGTTGACTAAGTTGAAATTGAGTCACAAATTGATTGGTTTGATCAATCAAACAGATTGGCCAAGTGACCAATCCATTAGGTGGTTTGAGAAATACTTAGATAGATTAAGTGCATCACGTTATTTATCATCTGTCCAATAAAAATATAACTTTTACATGGCATTAAATATAAATTCATTATAATATTAATGATAGTAGAAAGAGAAAAGGAAAGAAATCAAATATGCATTTTATTATAAAAATATCACAGCAATTTTATTTAAATTATTTAGAATATTTTAATTGAACACGCTATAAATAACATGATGCACCCGATCTATCTAAGCATTTTGCAGGTCGTTTTCTCGTTAGATTGCAACAACTTGTATGTTTTATGACAAAAGTTAATCCAGCAAGGCGAAATTGTACCAACACTGAGGCAGCACCCAACAAAACGAGGAGATCACAGATAGTAATTAATTAATTAATTGAGCACAAGGGGAAAAATCCATGAAGATACTCAACCATTCTACTCTTACAAACTAATTAATTTGATGCTTAAATGGCAAATGCTTTAGAAGGCCACCTTTCTGGGAGGAATGACTACATTTTTGTTTCCAGGAAAAGCAGTTCGAGAAATGTCTACCAAAGCCTTGAAGCTATAAGGCTCATGCATGGAAATCTCTGACAAAACCTTCCTGTTAAGCTGGATATTCTCCTTCATCAGCCCGTGCATGAAGTTCCCATAGTTAACCTGTTCAGTAAAACCAAGGAGACAAGTGACCAAGGGTCAGAACATTGATTGACCACTCTACATGGTTACTAAACTTCTGCAGATATATCTAATCCTGCTTTAAAATTGAATGAAATTTTAAGTAAAGAAATCAAAATTCCTCCTTATCACTGCAAAACCATGTTATCATGATTTAAACCAAGCCATCAGAGAAGAGCAAGTCTGTTTGTTCAATGTGCAACTAGCGAAGGAAAAAAGTATGAGCCTAACTGGACTTCCCAACTCCTACTCATACATGGTATAGATTTCATACTGGTTTGTCCAAGTCCAGTAGATATATTGCCACCGTTTACAGGCACAAGTGGCTGCCCTGTTTGTTAACGAGGAGGTAGTGCTACATGGTAACCCAAAATCAATAGTTTCAGCAAGAGAAAAAAATAAATCGATTTTGCAGGTGAGTCGTTTAAATTGGCTGGCTCCACACATGAATAAAATTAAGCATACCAGCCAATGGACAAACCGAAGTTTGTAATCAAATTTGAGATTTATTTGGATTACGTTGTGTAAGGGAAACCAATATAATCAAACGAGGGGCTATTTTGCAGAGTTTCGGTTCAATGCCTAATATAATTGCTCCATTGGCATGTCACAAAATGTTTTGCATGATAAGTAAGTCACCAAAAACAGTATGCATGACATTTTCCTCAGATTCGAGTTATATAGAAATGCAAAATCTCTATACAATACCAGAACTCATCTGACTTTAAATATGGGACTCAAATGACATCATGATGGCAAAATTGTTTACAAAGGAATGCAATTTTTTTATTTTAATAAAATTCTTAAATTTAATATTAGTGTTATGGAAATTAGATCAAGGAGGATAGGATAGGCTTTCACTAAAAATAGATGACAAAAAATTAGGAAATAGAAACAAGGATAGTAAAAATAGACAAGACAAATATCTTCAGTAAATATAGTTTTCCATAATTTTTTTTATGACTAAGACAAGAATATACACAGTGACGCCAAGATAGAAGCACACATGAACACAGATATTCAATTAAAAGAGGCTCTAGCAGAAATAGAAAAGAGGAAAAAAGTCCAAGATTTTCAATCAAGTAGTACTTTGATAGCTTTACCACACACACCTCTCCAATTAATGAGGAAAAGAAAAAAATGAATGCCAAAAGGCAGATATCAATAAAATCAAACAATTCAGAACAATGTTCGATTCACGTAATGACTGCATGCAAGCCAGACCATTTCAACTACTAAAAGCCACGTACAATTTAAATTCCTTCTGAGCCAACCATATTAGTTCCAAGATCCACAAATTCATTTTTGTTTGGACCTCCTTATTCTGTCATCCTCCTCTTCACATTCTTAACGTTTTTAAATCCACTAAAGGAAAAATCCTCTAAAAAGAAAATTATTTATTCTTAACCAATAGATGATCATATTATTGATAATAAATAGAATATTGCAGATGAAGAACATCCCCCTGCAATCATTTTTTTGATCAAGGTGCACGTATCACATGTCTATCAAATGGTTAGAAGGTTGACACACGCCAGTAAAAAATTAAAATTAAAATTAAAATTAGGTAAAAGTGAACTTTTTTAACTCTAACTTCACAAAAGGTTTCAATTTGACCTTTTAATTTTATAAAGTCTCTCTTTAATCCCCTAACCCTAACACGTTAATCTGATTAACAAAAAATGTTGATGAAAGTCAGTGAGAAATGCTGACATTGATTTTGAAAACCATGAAGTGTCTTTTGTGGCCTAGTTTAACTTAAAAATTTCAAATGATTTGATTAAAAAATATCAACAATTGAGAATGCTTTATTAGCTGTTAAAATTGCCATGTCAGCATTTTCTGCTAATTAGATTAACGATGATAAGGTTAGGGGACTAAATAGATGATTTATAAAACTTTAGGATCAATTGGAAACCTAGTATAAAGTTAGAGGATCAAAGGTGCACTTTTGGCTTAAAATTGAAATAAAATAATTTAAAAAAAAAACCCTGACTAAAGAGAACAATGCGACGCATAAGGTGGAAAGCACTGATTTTACAAAACAAGTTGAAAACAGAAACTTAAATGCTACAAGTCTTGATATAAATCATTAGGATGAATCTAGTGGCTAATATGTGATGACTGCACCCTGCATATACTGCAGGGGATCGGCTCTATATTACAGAGTAGAGAATCCTCTTCTAATTCACCAACAACTAATGCTGGTAAATACATTTTCCGAAGAAACTAAGGTTCCAGATGAAGCAATCAAGAAGCAAGGAAAAATAGAGATCACTTAAGAGCAAATGATACTTTGAAATGGTTGGAACTTGGGAAAGCAAGGTCATTTCCTATCACGAAAAACCAAAGAAAATTTGATGACTGGAATAGTCTGTGGGCAATAATCTAAGATGTGAACAGGAGAAAACTGGCATAAACAAAAGAAAAGGGAGGTCAGTCCAGTAATATCCAAAAAAAAAAAATGGTGTGAAACCCAAAAGGGGCGAACAAAGAAAGGGAAAAATGTCTTAAAATAACAAGATGAGAAAGCTGGAAAAATCAATTGAATTAGCACTCCTATATGACCTTAAGGTACCCATGCAGCCTATTTAAAGGAGCTGTGCATTTAAAATAAGACAGCAGTCAAATACCATGTGATGCAATAACATTGAGAGGGAAGTCCAAAAGGCAATTATGATACTCAAAATATCAATCCTAAACCTAGATTCATGAGATTATTTGATATATGTATACACATTTTTGCAAGTCATAAGATATGAAAATAAAATGAACAAAGAAGACAACTAGATTGAGGAGTTACAGAAAGCTTCATATTTTCATGATGACAACCCATTTGGATAAAATATTATACAGAAATCTGGTGCGTGCATATAGGGCAGAGACTAATCTCTAATATGAGTAATAACTAAGAGGCCTAATCCTCTGCAAACTAATAATTAGTAAGTGGAAAAGGAGGGAGTGATACATACACCATGAATGGGGGTGCCAGCATTAATCCGTTGGATCCAAAGGGAGCGCATGTCCCTCTTTTTGTTATGGCGATCTCTGTAGGAATATCGCAAGGCCTTCTCCACCCTTTCCCTGGCTGTCCTTATGCAATTCTTGGCCCTTCCACGGAAGCCCTTTGCCAGCTTGAAGATTTTATCCTTGTTCATTTTCTTGTGTTAATCTACTCTGCAATCATAATTCCACTCATTCAACAGAAGATTATCAAAACAAAAGTCCCAATTACCATAGTTGTACGATAGTTTTTAATATATCTACACTTGGAATCAATAAGAAGGTAAGAACTGTTATTAAAAACTCTTATTTCTGGAATCCATTATTAATTCTCAGTGACCATATGCGGAAAATGAGATATCATCATATGAAACAAATGAACACATCGACAATATGCTCAGAAGTCAAAGTAAGTGAGTCCATAGGCGGACCTACATTACACTCAGTGGGGGCATCTGCCACCACTGAAATCTTTGAAATATACATAGTTGATATAATACCCGTTTAATTTTCAAGCCAAGTTATTTACAAGATCATACATTACAAATACCTTGAGAATTTTCTAAATAGATGATAATATAAAAAGATTAATAAACAGAAAGCTAATACACAAAAAAACCAACATTCCAAAACAACATAACCCAAATCATACAAGTCGCTAGTAATCAAAATGAAGAGGGCAGAGGTAAAACAGCCAATTGCACACCATTCAAGCAAAAACTAGTACAAAAAAAAAATTAAACTCAATCAGTAAATATTCCCAAATTCAAAAGCCTCCATATTTAAACGATTACACGACCAGATTCAAAGCCAAATTAAAATGAAAAATTTAAAACAAGCCAAGAACAACTACGCAGGCAACAGATGACGCGGGGAACAAATTCAAATATACACTCAAAGCCAGATTGAACAAATCAATCTCACCGGACCGAGAACAACCACGCAGGGTTGACAACGGTGGACGGCGTCCCACGGAGCGCGGAATGCTCGTTCGTCGGTGAAGCGAAATGGATCAGCGACTCACGAGATCGGGTTTTGTCGGGGTTTTGGCATAGGTCGAAAGTTTATTACTCAGATAACAAAAATGATTATTTCATCTATATAAAATATAAAATAGTATTAAAAAATGAATATGAATATTAAAATATAAAATAATATTAAAATATAAAATATACTCTTTCCATTAAAAAATATAAGGCATTTTTAATCGAATCTCATCCCTGTAGTTATCTACTTTATAACTAACCTTATTTTTTCATATTTATTTCAATTAAATACCCTATAATAAATATAAAATTATTATCAATATAAATATTTTTGAAGAAAAAACAATAATTACATCTCAAAAGATTAAAAATATTTTACATTTTTTATCATCCAACTTCTCAAAAAATACCTTATATTTTTAATTGAGGGAGTAAATAAATATCTTAAATGTATTTTCATTTTTATTCTTTTTTCCATTTCCATTCCTTCAAAAAATTTCAAATAATTAAAATGGTTCTTAACCTTTTATCATATTTAAAAAAAATAAAGTTTACTAAAAAAAAATGTAAAGTAGGTGGAAACATATTCTAACACAATTTTATGCTAATGCAAGATATATATGAATTGTGAAGATACTAATTCAAATTCAATATACATATATATATATATGTGTGTGTGTGTGTAAAATAAAATATCTATTATCTTTGCATATTTTTATATCATATATAAATATATTAGATATTTAATTTTTATAAATATACAAACATAATAATTACAAAAAACAGAGAAGTTATTACTTAATAGAAATTTTATATTTTACATTGATATTTATTAAATTACATTAAAGTAAATTCATATTAAATTTAAATTTATATTAATTTAACTGAAATTAAATTTAAAGATTACAAAAAACATGATAACACTAATTATTATAAAAAAGACTATATTTTTAAGATCGTAAATTAATTACTTAAAGAAACTACGGCTAATATTTGCTAAATCTGCCAAAACAATAAAATTTGACATAACAACCTACATGATACCCTCTGTGCCAAACGAATCATCCAACTTGCACCACCAGCAAAAAGAATAACCTAAATTTCATTAATATCACTTAAATAACGAAATAACACTCAGTCACTCACATCAATTTTAGTTGATTAATCATATTTAAATTATTAAATGTAATGTTTCCTCATCAAAACTCCCCCTCTCTAAACTCAATTGTTCTTGGCAATTTTTGTGAATTATCATGGCCTCTATCTCATCATTTACCTCCTTCACATTATATAGGAAAAGATCTTTTTCTTTTTCTTTTTCTTTTTTTACATACAAAAGCCAAGACCCAATTTTTCATAAATTCAGACCCATGAAAAATTTTGACATATCGACATGCTAATCCCTTGGATTCAAGTTCCAATTTGATCTCCGCTTGAAAACAGTTTGCTGGATATTATTGACGCCTCAATGTAAAAGAATTGCAAATTTTAAAAAAATTTCAATTGATGTATTCCACATTTTTATTTTTGTCTTATCTCTTTATAAATATACTATTTAATAATTTCTTTAGCCAGATTAAATTCCCTTTTTTTTGCCAGAGCTTTATAAATAGAATACAAACATTTATTTTTATAAACATAAAAAATCAGATTGGAATTTTTTGCCTTTTCCAAGAAAACAACGATTTCACAGCAAAAGGAAAATTGAACTGAGATGTCATCACAAAAATATAAAGAAATCTTGCATATAAATTTAACTAACAAAATTTCCCCAGGGAAAGCATCACACAGTTTTACTTTTTCTCCTGGCTTAACTTGAAACCCATTTCTACAGTTTCTTTCTCAATTTTGTTCTCTGATCCTCACTTTTCCTGCTCCAATAAATATTCAAAAAGCAAATACACATTTCCCACCAGAATGTTGCTGAAAAAGAATCTTACCTTCCTTTCCCTTTCTTTCCATGTCCACCACCACCCTTTCCTTTTTCCCATTTTTACCAAATTTCTTACCCTTCTTAGTAGACTGGCTCTTCAGATGTGAAAGTCTGTTGGCTTTCTTTTGCCGCTCCTTTCGAAGTTGATCAAGATCTTTGATCTCTGAACGCACATGAGCATTAGGCATTGAATGCTGCTTCCTGCCGCCTTTAAATTTTCGAGGACCGCCTCGGAACTGCCCTGAATGAAGGAAAGAAACAAGAGTCAAGTGACAAGAATTCTCTCTCTTAACATTGAACTTGTCAGCCTTAGCACTTCATAATATATGTGAGTGAATGGATAGACGAGATCTACCGACACTGGCATAAAATTGACGATGGCAGTACTTTGTTTTTTGGCATTTACAAAGCAACAGTCACTACCAGCATAGAATGAACCAGATGTTCATTAGGTGAACGAAATCTTGAAAAAGACCTATTCGATCAAACCAACCATGATCAAACATAGAATAGAAGCACGTGAAACATGAAATCCACAGAAGTCTAATCATGTGCTGATGAGTTTACTTATGATTTTATTGGTCACCTAATTTTTCCTTGGCAGGATCTATGTTAAGAATATTTTCTAGTTCCACGGGAAACTTTACAAAAATAACTTGCAAAAACTGCACCAATTGTAAAGAAAAACTTCAGGATTTTATTGAAATAAATCTGAAATTAAGCAATAAGTCCAAATTCATTGCAAAAATAATTATGCCCTCCTGTAGTTTTTTTTTTTTCTCACAACACACGGGAATGGCCAGTGAGTACAAGCATGATTGACATACAATTAAATCATTCCTTTAAGTTTTTGTTCTCATTTCTTCGTAGAATGCATCATGACATTAGATAAATCCAGTGAATGGATGGGAAAAAATGAATTACAATCTAAGATCATATAATGAGAGCGAGCCAGTTTATGTAACTTCTTAAAACCTGTTAAACTAGCCTGATAGTAGGTTGATGGCCTTCCAATCATTTTATGTTATATAATTGTAATACTGACAATTTTAATTGCTGTTACTATCAGCAAGTAGTTACTGTAAGTTAAGTGATTATAGACGTTAGGGGGTTAGATGAGACAACATAGGAATAAAAGGCTGTATATAGAACTACGCTTGTAAATCAACCCATACTCATCCAAAATGAGAATTATTCAGCATATAATTCAGTAATCCTCTTGTATCTCTGTTTTCTCTCTCATTTCTTTAAGATCTCTCTTCTCTTCTTTCCCTCTCTTCCTCTTCTTGGCGAATCACAATCATCTATCATTTTACCTTCACCTCATTCCTTTCTATTAGCAATTAGAAAAAGCCAATGCCCTTTCTCAGTGAAGAAGATACAGATGATAGCCTTAAAGTAAGCTAAAGCATAATTAGGTACGCTTACAGCAACAGCTGCAATAATCCTGCCTAGGGAAACAAGGCAAGACCAACCCATGAGTCTCCTTTGTATCTAAGGATAATAGATGATCTCCAACATACAGGAACTCAAACAAAGGAATATTAAGAGAAGCAAATTCATACTGCTGAACTCGTGGATCCATGAGAATCGCCATCATTGTCCATCCCTTTAAGAGCTATCTTATGCCCTCCTGTAGTTTTTTCCCCATTTACAACACACGAGAATAGCCAGTGAGTACAGGTATGATTGACATACAATTAAATTGTTCCTTCAAGCTTTTGTTCTCATTTCTTCAAAGAATGAATCATGGCATTGGATAAATCCAGTGACTGGATGTGAAAAATGAATTACAATCTAAAGAAAATCATTACTCATATAACTATCATACAATAAGAGAGAGCCAGTTTATGTTACCCCTGAAAATCTTTTAAACTAGCCTGATAGCAGGTTGATGGCTTTCCAATCATTTTACCTTCAGTTAAAGCCAATGCCCTTTCTCATTTAAGAAGTTATAGATAATAGTCTTAAAATAAGCTAAGGTTGCGTTTGGATGGGTGGATTTAAGTTAGGAATTTGAATTTAAAATATCATATTTGAAATTAATAAATTCTAAATTCTTTGTTTGGATGATATTAAAAATTTCTAATTATAATATTAAAATTTTTGGTTAGATCTAAAGAGAAATTTCAAATTTCAAATTCTATTTTTGAATTTAAAAGAAACTTGGACGACTAGTCAAAGTTGACAGTTCGAATAGCCAACTTCCATTAAGATCAAATAGTTAAAGCTGACTGGGACTATAGCACTAGCAATAACCAGGATGAGATGGTCAACTTCCACCAAGACAGGAGCGATATGACAATGGGGATCAAATGACCGACTTCTACTCAAACCAGACAGATGGCAACGATGGCAACTGGATGGCCGACTTCAACTGGGATTGGATCAATGGCAATGATGGGGAATGGATGGCCAACTACCATAGGGACTGAACCGACAATGACCATAGAGATAGGACAGTCGACTTTCACCAGGACCAGATAGCCAACTTCCATCAAGACCAGACCTAATAGAAGTTAGCCGTCTGATCCTAATAATAGTTGTCTGTTTGGTTTCAATGAAAGTCAGCCATCAAGTCCTCGTCATCACCATTGCCATTAGTCATGTCCTAATGAAAGACGATCATCCCATCCAAGTGGTTGTCGTTAGTCTGATCTTGGCAAAAGTTAGCTGTCTAGTCCCCGTCATCACCGTAGCCCTCAGTCTTATCCCTACAAAAGTTGGCCATCTAGTCCTTGTCGTCAACACAGCAGTTGGTTCGATTTTGACAAAAGTCAGCCTTTTAATCCCTATCGTTGCTATCTATACTATCTAGATGGAAGTTGGTTGTCCAATCTCGATCGTCACTATCAGTCTGGTCCAATCTCGATAGAAGCCACCCGTCCCGTCCTAGTCATTACTGTCAGTCCGATCTTGATGGAAGTCGGCCTTTCGATCCCGGTCAATGATGAAGACTTGTTTCCATCAACTTCGACAGTTTGATCCAATTACCATTGGTGGGCTAATCAAGCCTTCTTATATTTGAGTCAAATTACAAAAGTGAGCCACCATGGATTTGAGTCAAATTATAAAAGAGATTGAGTTAGGATTTAAAATAATAAGAGTTTAAAAAAGGATTTCAAATTACAAAAAGATTAAGATGGAACTTAGATTGGAATTTTTAATTACTCAAATAATAAATTTGGCTCAAATTCAAATATAAATCCATATGTATCCAAACATAGCATAAAACATATATAGGTACACTTCACAGCAATAGCTGTAATATTCCTTCCTTGGGAAACAAGGTATAAGACTAGTCCATGCAGCCTCCTTTGTATTTATAAGGATAATAAATAATCCCTAACACACAGGAACTCAAATAAACATGGAATATTAAGAGAAGCAAATTCTGACATGCCAGACTCATAGATCTATGAGAATCACCTTCATTGTCCATCCTAGAGCTATCTTATTGTGTGAGCATTCTTTCCACTTCTTATATATTAGGTTGCACAGATATAGGTACAAATATCAAATACGATATGGCATGATATGGTAATACGGTAAATTTTAAAAATTTTAGGATATAGGTATAGGGATATATGTATTAAAAATTTTAATATTATATATGTATATCTAAGTAAAAAAGAAAGAAATAAATTAAATAAATAAAACTAACCCTAAACAATTAAAAATCTAATAGCCAATAAAAAAAAACAATAGCCTATGAAAAATACCCAAATCCATATGGCCTTGCAGATCAATTCATTGCCCAATCAATATCCTAACTTCTAGCCTAAAAAAGTAATAACCTAACCACTAACCATACCAAAAATAACATAGGGAGAGGAACAAGCTTACATAAGGGAGAAGTAGAGCATGAGTAAGAATAGAGAGGGAGAGGGAGGGAGAGAACTTGACAGTCAGTCATTGACAAAAGGTTGCTAAAAATGGTGAAAGCGAATAAGCAAGTTGGTAGAGATAATGAAAGAAAAGCATAAGCAAGAGCAATGATGCGTATCGGGATATGTGTCCATGTCCAATGCGTATAGTGAAAGCAAAGTAAAAGCAAGAGTATACCAAGTTAAACCACATATCCATGCTTCCTAGCTTGTATATACCAATCTTGGTGGCCTTCACTTTCACTCCGCCCTTTGTCTTTATGTATAATCATGTATAGAATATAAACGTGAGGGCTTGTGTCACATAAGAACTTTAAAAAAGAGAACCCTATATTTAGTTGATCAATAAATGTATCTCATAAAATGATTGCACAAACTCATGGTCAACTCCTCGTGCATGATAACATCTGTCATAATTTCTTTATCGATGTTATCCTAGATATTGATAGTGTCATAAACTCTAAGTCAAACATAATCTTCACGCCCTTGATGCAAGCTGTATAATGTCTCAACATCTCTTGATTCTCATCAAAGAGGTTGCTTTAGATTTAAAGAGGGGCCCTAGGGTAACCTTTCACTTAAGCTTCAGAGAAAGGGTAAGGGTAGTCTTTAAGGGAAGTGCAGGAGCCTTTAGGGCAAATGTAGAAGTGGTCTTTAAGGAAAAAGAAGGAATAGGTTGCATGACAAAATCCTTAGTCCCCATAGAAGCTTTCTTTTTATTTCTCTTTCCTTTTATTATCCTCAGAGGGCTTTTTTAGAGGAAGCTTCTCAACAAGCTTTAATCACATCATGTTAGTAATCAATCTAAATACAAGAAAAAGTAAAAAGTTGAGAAAGGTTTAATTGATATACCTTTGACATTGGCTTCAGTTATGGATCTCGTACAAGATGACTAGGTCAAACAATAAAGCTAGTACTTTTTCAACCACTTCAACATCTGGTATGGGCACAGGTAGGGGGTAGTGGGACTTATTTATAGTCAATAGTTAGACCTTTATATGGTCAGTAGGGAGGGGCACATTGTGAATCACATTGCTCCCTACAGTGTTAAACATGTGTCTAATTGCAACACACACTCATGTGGGCTATTAGCCAAGAATTGAACCTTAGCCTCTCTCTAAATAATAAAAGAAAAACACTATACCATAGTTTTATAGTAAAAAATAAATAAAACATTATACTAAGGAATTTAGCGACATTAACTTGAATAGTTTTAGGGCAACTTTCTTTTAAACTCGAGCTAAGCTTTGCTATGAGATTCCCTGGCAGACGTCCATTGAGTAACATCTCAATGTATTTATTTTGTTGGCCTATGATTGCTTGGGTTTTGTGTAGCTCTATCCATAATAAATTCACCTCTTCATGATTAGTAGTCTTTTTAGGCTTCTTTGGCACTGTCATGAAGTACTTCTTCTTGGTAACTCTAAATCCTACACCTAAAACACGACCAGGGTGGTCAACATTCCCCAAAGTCTTCTCCAAGACATCCTCACCATGAGGAATAGAGCCCGAATCACCCTCCTAAGAAAAGGCCACCTATGAATTACACAACAGAGAAAATTAAGCAAATAATTGATTATTTTAACATTAATACAATTATAATTAACATTTACAATTTTTTCAACAACTTCCTTCACTCAAGGGTCTCAAATGTTTCCCTGATTATCTATTGGGGCCAAAGCCTAAAGCTTTTCTTGAGATACAAAATCCTCTAATCCCTGCTCTTTTAAATAGTCCTTCTCAACTGTGGCATAACTTTTACGCCCTTTCAAGCAGGGATATTTGTTCTTTTTGCCCCCACCCTTTTTTATAGCACTTAACTTATTATAAAAATACAAAATATTAGAGCCATTGTACATATATAATCATTAAAAGCAAGCAACATTAAGGAATAATTATTACCTTAAACTCTTACTGTGACAGAAGTTAACAAAATAGCTCATTGTTTAGCTTAATAATGGATTTCAAGAGCATGACAACTTTATCTTCAATTCTCTCTATGTCTAGGTTTTTTGAGAATTTTCTAGTGATTCATACTCTGAAAAAAGCAATGTGCTATCCTAACTTTGTGGAGAACAAATTCTTCCTACTCTTGTAATCAAATCCCGACTGCAAAAGGAATTAATCTTATTGAGGTTAATATAACAAATTTGTTGTATAACAAATAAGGTGTCACAGCCCAGTACTGAGGGTGTGATCGGCACAAAATATGAGATAAACTCATATTCCATAAGCATTAATTTACTAAAAAATTTATTCAAGATAACAATATATAATTTATGTCTAAATTTAAAATTCATAATATCTTAACCATTATTTAGAAATTTTAGTAAAGTCTCCCTTGTAACTAGGACTTCTCAAATTTTTATTAAATACAACCTGTTAGCCAACCCAAAAAGGAGCTTAAGCACATACCAAACATTTTACAATAATAAAATAAGATCAAGACTTAACTATGATATATGTGGAGTGCTGAACTTATAATTTTAATACAATACATAATTATATCAAAATGGATGGTCAAAGAGTGCTTCATTATCTAAAAAGCAATATTGCCCTTTAATATCAGTAGGAAGTGCAGGGTCAACTATAATATCTAAGACCAAAAAAATTTCTGGTAAATAGCATTCCAATTAGAATAAAATTTGAAAAAATTTAATAAAATGGAACTAATAGACTTCGTTTTAAAATGATTTAATGAAGTAATGAAACATACACATAAACTAATAATGAAGAATAAGTTTCTCAATAATACAATCATGAAATTTAAACAATACTATTAGAATAATATAAATTTTTAAAATTTGCCAATGCGTATAGAATATAAAAATTTCAATTAATGGTACAACGAAGTAGAGCACTTTTAAAGAATTAACATAGAATGATAAATGATTTTAACTTAAATTTAGGAGGGCTTTATCAAAAGGAATAATAAGCATGGACATATAGTCCACGAGGATAAATAACCAATCAAGTGTGTCTGGAAACCACGAAATAAGCGTGAGTACATACTCACAAATGTCCATCCCTCTATTCCACATGCGTTGGCCTACGCATGAGACTAGGACCTCTTACAAACACCCTACTAGCTAGGTGTACTATGATACGTCAAGGGCTATGGAACTACCATTAGCAACTAGCATTTTAAACTTAGTCACTTTAATTAAAATCAAGCATATATGGAGCAAGAAAATAGTTTTAAAATTATCATTTTAAACATTGTTCAATGATCATTTTCCATTGCTCTAATTTATTATCATTTCCTTCATACACAAATCATTGTATTAAAAATTGTGGATCAACATGGAATTAAATAAGTAAACTACTTCTAAGAAATAATGCCAGTATCACATATCTATTTCAATTATTACTTATCAGCTATATAAATCAGTAAAATCAACGCATTATCATTAATAAGACAATGGGGAGAAAAATAGAATTACAAAAATATTTGTACAATTTATAAAGGAATACTAGTAAAAGTTTAAATAAAGAAAGTTTATAAATAATTTACTAGAAATTGAGGCGAAACGCTACCCATGCACCAGAAAGTTTTCCCAAAAATTCTAAAAGGGTCTTATCTTAAGTTCCCTTAATTCTAATGATCTCTTAACTTCCTAATAAAAATACAATCATAGCATCATTTATAAGTAATTTTCTAATACTTAGCAAACATTCAAATCAATTCCCAAACAAACATCACAACTTAAAATATACAATCCATAAACTCATTATCAATTAACTAACTAATTAAAAATCCAACTAAATAAGAGAAAAATATTTTCACCTCTTTTGTACCTTCTTAAAACTTATTGAAATGCCAAAATCATCGTTCACTTTAACATAGTCTACCTTAGGATTCTAATTAATGACTCAAATCACTACATATGCATGTTCCTTCAAAATTAATATATAAAATTGAAACAACTTATATTCCACCAAATTCTTCTCTCATAAATCTCAAGCTTAGCATTTTAACAATCTAAATATACTTGAATCAAAAAAATATTTGACACATTTTAAATCATCCTTATACCTTCTTGTAACCCATCCTCAAGCATAAAGCATAATAAATCACATTGACTATCTCATGCTCCCTTTAGACTTAATAAATTACTATACAAGTATCCTATATAATCTCTTTCTCTATACTTTTTTTTATTTTAGTATCTTCAAATTTTAATCAATAACTCAAGCCACTTCTTGCACCATATTTTTTCCAAGCTATATTATACCAATTTAGAAACATTATTTCTACCAATTCCTTCTTTTAGGCATTTCTACAAACATCTTGGGTGCATCTAAATTTAGCTCCCAACAATCATCCAACCAATTAATCAACTTCCAACATTAATTCAAAACCAACATTAGCTTATCACCAACTAAAATCATACATAGGCTTAAGTGAAATTACAACTTAAAATCAAAAAACATCATGACAACAAAATGCAATAATTCAGCCAAAGGAGGGAAGGATTATTCAGTGTTATTATAAAACTCAAAGGGGGGAAGGAAAAATCGCCAACTTACCTTAACAAAACTCAATCGCAACAATTATGATTAACTAATATACTGTGTTGAAGAAGGAAAAGAGAAAAAGTTTTGGTCTTCTACATGAATGAAAAGGAAGGGGTCAGAAATTTCAATTAGCAAACATAAGGAATCAAGCTGCCATGTACACATATATATAACTTTTAGTAGTGAAAAAGGATGAAGAAGGAAGAAGGATTGATCATGCATATACACATTACACCTCTATCAGCCATGTAACAGAGTAGAAAAGAGGGAGAGATTTAGCTACTTTACCTAATAGAAACAGATGAACAATGTAACATTTTAAAAATTTAAACATGATTAATTAAGTTAATGGGGGTAATTAATTAAGTAAATTAGTATGGTGTGTGGCTAGATAAGTCTAAATTATGTAAATGATTGTGATTTCAACCCTAAAGGTGGGGTTTGAAGTGAAGTTGAGCCATTTAGGCATCAAAAGGAGGAAAAAGTAAAGGAAGGTTATATGAGTCACATGCCACGGTGCGAGCAACGTTCACCATTGCACATAGAGGAAAGAATAACGGAATGACCTCTATATGCCATGTGCCATGCTACTACGTGTGCTACAGTGTATGGCCAACTTTCTGATAAACTAGTTGTGAAGTAGACAAAAATTAGAAAAAAATAGAGAAAATGAAGAGCAAATGTGATTTTCTCAGTAAGGCTTGTGGCATTGGAGTTTATGAGTATTTTGGAGCTAGATAACATTTAAGGTAAGGTTACTAAGCTCATTTCTTCCCTTTCTCTTCCATTTTCTCTAGTTGAGAAGTTAAGGCTTGAGTGTTAATGGTAATTTTATATTTATATGAGATATGGGTTTGAACTCATTGTCTTAAAATGGATATAATGAGAGTATTTAGAGTATTCAAACCCTGCATTAATAATTTTAGAGAGTGTTGGATTATGAGGGTCATTAATATCCAAAATTTGCATTTATTGAGGTTGTTGAGAGTGATGATGATCATTAATGGTGGTTTAAATACTCGTTAATGATAATATGGGTCATTAGACCCTAGTAAACTATTGGATATGATGGGTAGTGAAATTATGATTTAAATAAAAATGGAGAATGTGGAGTTGTGATAGTGAAAACATCAAAAGTGGAGTTGTGATAGTGAAAAGTATCAAAAGTGAAGTATAATAATGTATCCTTATGATATGACTGTAGAGTAACCTTTTGGCACCATTCTACCTAAATAGAAAGCTTTGGAAGTAGTTATATTGAGGGGTAAACTTTTTACCTCTCAAAGGTTTGAAGTAACTAAGGAAAATCTAATTTGTATAGTTATATATTAATAGATAATTGTTGAAATTAATGATTTGAAATTAAAATTGTTTGATGTTAGAAAAATTATTGATGCAATTTTTCAATGTGATGAATTATGTGTGAAATTGTTTTGAAAAATGGAAAAACCTTATGCATGATGCATATATGTGTTTAATGATAATGATTGATTATATGTCATGTGAAAATGATGAAAAATGTAATAATTGACATGTGGAGTATTATCAATATGTGAGTAAGGATATATGAATTTATATGTGATGAATTGTGTTGAAAATGACATATGAAGTGTCAATATTTGTATAGCATGATCATTGGTGAAAGTTCACCTAAGGAGAGGAGGAGATTGGTAAATCTAAATGTATTGGTGGTTTACCATTGGAATCAGAAGCTTGCCTTAGCACAAACCGTTGAAATCACAGAGGTAGCCATTGTCTCATGGTTGATTCACGACTGTCTCACTTGTTCTTTGAGAGACTCAAACTTAACTAGTCTCTATTAGTTTATGAGAACGCTAGATTAAGGGTATGACACCTTATAGTTGTTAGTATTAGAGAAAATTCATAGCACACGAGTGGAGTGAGTTAACGCTAACCTAGTAGCTCCTCATAAGTGGAAGCTAGGTTAGTCTGAGTTGCAAATATAACCACTTAATAGCCCCTAGTTTCATGTCAAAGGTAAT